AGTGCCTATGCAAGGAGTTGCATATTAACTTCTGAAGAGCTGTATGCAACTCCAGAGCTACAGACTGGCCACTCCAATCTGCAATATAGGGTGTGTCTAAACTACATGGCTCCATCAATGGAGCCATGTAGATTAGGCTGATCGGCAAAGGGAAATGAAGCTGCGATTTAAATAATCTCAGCTTCATTTAAATTTAAATGGCTGCTGCGCTGAACCAACGAACAGCTGATCAGCTGTTTGTCGGCTCAGCGCGCTAGTCTGGACGCTCCCGCACTGACCTGAAAGCCCTTTATCGACCTCCCCATTATGCCTCGTAGGATGAGGTTTACCGGGGAGGTCGATAAAGGGCTTTCATGCCGGCAGGGGAGTGTCCAGACTGCCCCGATCTGCTGACAAACAGCTGATAGGCAGAGCGGAGCAGCCATTTAAATTTAAATGAAGCTGCAATTATTTAAATCGCGGCTTCATTTCCCTTTGCTGAACAAACAAATCTACATGGCTCCGTCGACGGAGCCATGTAGTTTAGACGTACTCACAGAGTCCTCTGCTGGAGTGTTGTTGATAGGGTGGGTCTTTGTATTAACATCACACCAAGATGGTTGAAGTATCACGCAGAGCTCTTTCAGGGTGTATATCGGAGCCCACAAACATCACTGCATTAGTTACACTTAGGTCATATTTCCCATCTTTTCTTCAAAAGACAACGTCTAAGAAACAATCTTTTTTTAAAATTAAAATTTAGAATTTGTCTGTGTGAGAAAACTAACCAGCAGAGCTAGACTGGTCAGTTGATCCGTGACTGCTCCAGAACAAAATTATTTGGTTCTGATAATTATTCTTCTGCAGAGCTGGTCAATTTGTCCACAATTTCTGCATTCAGAATTTTGTTTCCTCAGCAACTATTGGGGGCGAGAGGAAAGTGCAAACCTGCAAACACTTAGGCCCAGATTCATAAAGGAACTTAGGTGTTGCAACACCTCACTTTTAGGCATCTACGGCTATGTCTACACTCGCGGATTCTTGCGTGAAAAATATGCAAATGAGGCTAAGCGAGGAATATCGCAGAACCTCATTTGCATACCTAATGAGCCACCATTTTTGCAGAAGAGACAGAAGAAAATAATCAGTGTAGCGGCATTGTGCAAAAGGGTTTTCCTTGCGGGCCTACCAACCGCTATGCTTGCCTGTATGCCTCCAGCTTCCATCCCAGACACACGACACGATCCATTGTCTATAGCTAAGCACTGAGCATTTGCATATTTTTCACGCAAGAATCCGCGAGTGTAGACATAGCCGTAGATGCCTAAAAGTGAGGTGTTGCAACACCTAAGTTCCTTTATGAATCTGGGCCTAAGTATTTGCAGGTTTGCACTTTCCCCTCACCCCCAACAGTGGCTGAGAAAACACAAAATTCCATGCTTAGTCTCATTTGAATATTTCTCACGCAAGAAGCCGCAAGTGTAGACATAGCCTACACGTATATCTATACTGCAGGACAAAGTTGAATTAAGATATGCAACTTCAGTTATGCAATTAATTAGCTGAAGTCAAAGTAGCTTAACTTGGCTTTTGGCACAGTTTACACTGCAGGAAGTCAAAGGAAAAAGACTCTTCCTTTGAATTCCCTCAATCCTCATGAAATGTGGGTTACCGGAATCAACAGGAGCACCCCTCTCTGTTCGAATTAGGTATCTTAATTAGACTGCTAATTTGACCCCTGGAAGATCAACAGAAGCAGCTTTCATCTTCCTATGCAGTGTAGACATACCCTAAAAGATCAGTGAAACAGTGGGATCCTCAAAGTCTGAGTTAAGTGCCCAGACTCCTTTTATAATTTAGAATGCAACCAACCAGGGGTGGCCTGTCAATGTAGGTGAACTAGGCGTCGCCTAGGGTGCCAAGATAAAGGGCTGTTAATGGCTTTGGAGGTAGGGGCGCCGATCGCAGTTTCGCTTAGGGCGCCAGTTGCCGGCAGCTCACCTAGGGCTGCTCCTGCAACCAACAAAAGCTAGAATGCTAAATGAGGAGCTGCCTAACCTAGCCAAGGGGTGATGCCAATGAGACAAGTGTGTTCTAAACCTCATCATTCTCTGACAGGTGGCACCTACTTCTGCTAGTGACCCACAGCTGGGAACCCTTCACCTGGACTTAGGCAACCTCGTCAATTCTTGCAAGAATGAGTTAAGCAACTGCCTTATCCCATGCAAAATGATGGCACTTCAGCCTGGTTTTAGAGCACTCACCTGGGAAATCTGGCTTCAATTTTCCCCTCTGGCAGAGCAGAAACAAGAATTTGAAGGAGGTATTACCTATCTTTGAGAAGAGTACTTTAATGCCTGAGCTATGGGATATCCTGATGTGAGAGTCCCTCAGTCTCTCCTCTTGAAATTGTTCCATTGTGTATAATTCCTTAATTACTTAAGTTATTGGGCCAGAAAAAGAGAAAGAGAGAGAGAGAGAGAGAATGAGAATATGACTCTACAGTCAAGTGGTTAAGGCATCCATCCTGGGAGATAAGAAACCCATGCTCCAGATACCCCCGACCCCTACCTGTCCAAGGATTTCAGAAACCATGAAGGAGACAGCAGTGTGCATGCTTGGACGTAGAAATTTAGGCATTAAGAGGACTGTTTCTCTGAAAACATAGATGCTGAGTGACTTCAGAATTCTATTTGGACCAGCAGGAGCTCTATTGATTGCAGTGGGACCTAAAACTGAGATTTAGGTGCCTAAGTTCATTTGTGAACATGGGACATAATCTGCCTAAAGGAGTAGCCTCAGGTAATTTTTAGGTTATTGGAAGATCTGACCCTAAAATAGTCTGAGGAACCCTATTATCAATTGCTGAAGAGACCAACTGAATTCCCAACTTAGGGTTTGGCAGGAAAGTGAAGGAGTAGCTGATTTTCAAATATTTTCTTGAAAATTCTACATGTACTTAAAATTATTAAGCCTTTTTCTACATTTAAGTACTAATCTGAAACTTTACATATATAAATACTGGCATCCAAACTTGCTAACACTTGAGCATGTGAGTAAATTTACTCCTCTGAGAAGAATCTCTGAAGTCGGGCATACAATTAACATTATCAACTCCAAATAAGATACTGAAGTTTAAAAAAAAAGATAAACTTTCCCAATGAGTTTTTTTCTGATTAAATTTTCATAAGGCACAAATGTATAATTGCCTGAGCAGTGCCTAAAACTTATGCCCTAATAAATCTGTTAGTCTCTGAGGGAGTGTCTATACTAGGAAATTATTTTGAAAAACCAATTTCAAAATAACTCCCAAAATAACTATTTCAAAGTAAGTGTTATTCCTCATGGAAAGCAAGAGTTATTATTTTGAAATAACCTTATTTTGAAATAACAGGCTTGGTTGTTTGGATACTCCACTTGTTATTTTGAAGTAAGGGGAGTTATTTCAAAATAACTTCCTAGTATAGGCCAGCACTAAGGTGCCACTGGATTCCTTATTGTTGGGTTTTGCTTCTTTTTTTTTTAAGTTATGGTGATTCTTCAATTTTTTCCTCAACGTCCCTTATCGTCATCCCATTTTACAGACTACAGTAATGAGATGTAAGGATATGATGTAACCATACATCCCCTCCGTTTAGTCTGACATAATACAAGGTCAGTAATAAACACAGAAAGGATATGCATTCTAACCCATACCAGCCCTTTTCAAGTGAATAACATATAGTTTTCTAAATCAACATACATTCCAAAATATGTATACACTGTAGATTCTGACAATTGACATTCCAGAATGTTGTCATTCCAGTCATGTTGGTTATTCGTAAGTACTCTCCAAGTTAGAGCATATAACAAAATAGTTATTTGTTAAGCCATAATAGTTTGAGAGAGTGTTAAACTTCTGAGTTCAACATCAGTTCTGAAAATCATTACAGTATAGTTAATCACTCCTATGTGCTCCTGCACATTGCTGCAATCTGATGTGTTTCCTTTTCAGAACAAAGGGGGGGGGGGGGGGGGGAAGGAGAGAGATGACTGTCACTTACAAACTAGCAAAAGCAACAAAATTCCAAGTTTAATTAAACTCTTAACTTGCTCCCCTGAACCTAAGTATTGCTGCACATATTGTAACTCACTGTTATTTTTAAGCCTCCCAAACACAATGGATGAGAAAGGAACATAGTTTCAGCTTTAAATTTGAACTCCCCTGCTTTTGTTAGTATGTGTCACAACCTTAACATTATCTCAACTGCAGACTTTTATCTGTGAATATCTAAGTCCTGTCTGGTGGAAAACTAATTACTGAGCCACTGAGAGCTTCATAATGTCCTGCATTTAAGTCCTGAACATCATACATAATGCATAGGAAGCAGGCTCTGCACTCTGATTACAGAACACTGTCATTAAGTGAGCAAATTAAAGATGTGAATAATTCACTGGCTGAGCTTATTGTCAGTGCTGCATTGTGAAATTAGAATTTCTAATAAGTACTGCAATTTTTAACCCAATTAACACAGAGAACATCTTGAGTCTGATTAGTACAATAAAAATTATTACCTTATTCTTTTGCTTCACAACAGCCAAATTAAATACTGTACTTAATTATGCAGCATTCATTGCGTCTCTGTTAAAATAAAAAAAACCCTACTATTCTTTAATACGAGTACTAGTCTTTAGGCTGAAATGGAAAAAGACAGCACATGCAAATGTAGCTCAATTCCTTATTACAAAGTTGGTTTAAAAAAAAAAAAAAAAAACACTTTGCAGATCAGTTTTAGCACCAGCTGTAAACCATGATGTCACTCCTGAAGTCTGCTTTGGAAACAAATATCGAACAAACAGCACAGAAATAATTGACTAAGTAATCCTTCCAAACGGACTACGAATATGTTGCACTTTAACTTTTTCCTCTGGGTTTCTTTACACACAGGTAAAACACATTTTGCCACTTACTGGTTTGAAACTGCAAATATATCCCGTTTCAAAAGAAAGTTTAGGAAACGTGATTACTAAAAGATTCTTACCTCGGGTGCCTATTTGGCACGGGATAGATTACATTATCTCCTTTCATCCTAGAAGGGAGACAGGGAGAGAAGTCCCACTGAACATGCAGCATGTTGATCCTCCCCACGCACGGCGCCTGCTGCCATGTTAAATAAAGAAAATGATCTTTTAGGTTGCAGCTTTTGTCTTCAAATATTTTCTCCCGTTGCTTTTTTTTTTTTTTTAATATCAAGGATCCCAGAAACAGGGCACGTCTGGCAGTGGCCACCGCTGGATGCAGCTGCAGCAATGTGATCTTCCTCCTAATCCTGTTTCATTTCCAGCTCCTTTTCCAGCCCCATCCTGGGGAACTTTAATCACCGACCGAGCACGAGTGAAAAGGATAAGATGGCATTACAATGATGAGCTTTCTTTATAAAGACAGTGACTGTAGCAACCACCTTACTTCTTCGTCTAGATATTTGAGCCTGTGCGTGTGAGCGAAAGAAAAAAAAATAAAGGTGCCCTGAAAACCAGACAGACACAATGTATAGAGAGAAAGAGAGGAAACAGAGACTGAGAGAGGGAGGGGGGGCTGTCAATGCAGATAAATTTGCATATGGAAATCAGGGTTATCCTGGGTACAGTTTTATTTAACCGTGATGTACGTTTGTTTGTTTTTTAAATTGGATAGGAATTTAAACAAGGAAAGGGAGAGATTCTTGCAAACCCCAGAGTAAAAGCAGCTTTTTAGTCACCACAGAGTTTTTAATAACCCCACAAGCTGCAGCAGCAACAGCAGAACTTTTTGGTAACTTTCCGGTTGGGAGCAAAAGTTGCGTGCACTTCTAGTGATTTCCATTGAAATGCCAGGAAGAAAGCGTTTCGTAATTAAAAACAAGACAATCCATAATAATACAATAATTAGATAAGTGAACAATCACTTACAGGCTACACAATGCTAACCTTAATACAGCTGTCTCACGCACAGAGTTTGGACGGTTTTAAGACTTTCGCATAGTGCACCATAATGACTGATTAATCAAGAGCTTTCAATTAATAACAATGGCAAGCTCCGACCTGATTGTTGTATTTGTCAGGCACTTTTGTGCCTATTGGTTGAGAACTTGTTTGCGGTGTTCTACTGGATGGGCACAGAAGGGACAGGAGAAGATTAATTTTGGCTGGCATGGGAAAGGGTTGGGAACCGCTGTGCAGGAAGGGCTGATGGGAAACGTAGATTGGGTGAAAGGGTTTGGGAGCTAATATGAAAAGGGGTAATAGGAGAGAAGATCTCTGGGTTAGTAGGGATGTATGAAAGTAAGCACTAGTTTGGGAGAAGGATTAACTGAAATGTAAGGGAAGGAGACTGAAGAATGGGCATTTGGCAAGAATTGGAAAGGTGTGAGAGAAAGGGAAAGGAGATGGCTGGAAGGAAGTTTGGTGAAAGCTGTCGAGGATTTTGTGAGGAGGATTTGGCTCTGGCTTTGGCTCTGGCAAGAAAAGTGTAAGGAAGAGAAGCTGGTAGGAGAAAAATAGGAGGTGGAAGGAGCACGGGAAATCATAGGTATGGAACAGGAAAGGATTGGTTGGTAGTGAACATGAGGAAATGTTGGCACGAGGCTGGCAGGGGATGTGGTTAGAAGTAGTAGGGATAGTGTGCGTAGAGAGGGGTTGTTGGCTGAGAGGGATTGCTAGCCAACCATGTTAGGGATGTCTGGGAGGGTGATGGAGAATGGTAGGCGAGTGGGTGAATGGCAAAAAATATTGGTTGCTGGCTGTAAATAAATAGTTGTTATGTATATAAAGGTTTCAGAGAGTTAACCCTGTGAGTCTGTAGTCCTGCAGCACCTTTGAGACTAATAAAAATGTAGATGGTATCATGAGCTTTTGTGGGCACAACCCACTTGTTCAGATGAATGGAGTTAAGGAGTCCAGGGTACACATAAATACATTTACAGTGAACCCTCGTTTATCGTGGTAGATAGGTTCCAAACCCGACCGCGATAGTTGAAAATCCGCGAAGTAGGGACATGTATATTTAACATGTATACGGCGAGCCCTCGCTACTTCGCGGTTCGACCATCGCGGATTCACGTATATACATAATGTAATGAAAAAAGTCCGCGAAGTCGTGAATCCGCGATGGTCGAACCGCGAAGTAGCGAGGGCTCACTGTACCCTTATCTACATTTTTCTTTTTTAGTCTCAAAGGTGCCACAGGACCATTCATTGTTTTGTTTTTTATTATTATTTTGTCATGGAAATGTAATAGAATGGATGGCTGAGGGAGAATGTGTGGTAACTGTGGGAGGGGAGCTTAAGGTGCAATTGGTGGGGGGGCAAGAGTTTGTGTGGTGGTAATTCAGGGAAGAACCTTGAGAAGCAGGATTTAGATGGGTGGCTGTCAGCATGAAACATGAGACTGGCTGTTTGGGAATAAAGAGCTGTATGGATGGGAGACTGATTGGGAATATGGTGGACAGTTGACAAGGAATTTGGAAATGGATGGATGGGAAGAGAAGAAAAAAATGTTCTCCTTAATGTCTAATGATCGGACAAGAAGGAATGGGATGATCTCCTGAAGTTCCTTCCAGTTCTATGATTCTCTGATACCTGAAGGGGGGTTCCACAGAGGATGCAGCTAGGCAGTTTTCTGTTGTGGCAGGTGACAGAACAAGGAGCAATATTCTTAAGTTGCAGTGGAGAAGGTCCAAGTTGGATATTAGGAAAAACTATTTCACACCGTGGATTGTGAAGCACTGAAAGGGTTGCCTTAGGGAAGTAGTGGAATCTTCACTTTACAGTTTTTTTTAAAGCCAGGCTTGACAAAGCCCTGGCTAGGATGATTTAGTTGAAGTTGGTCCTGCTTTGAGTAGGGGATTGGACTATATGACCTCCTGAGGTCTATTCCTATCCTAATCTTCTATAATTCTGTGATTTCTTTAGTAATTTTTCCAGGTCCATTTTTGACAATCAATAATCCTTCCAGCATAGGAGTGGACAGTTTATTTCTTATATTTAAGTGACTGCTGCACTGTGACTTACAAGTAGGGAACCTGTGGGAGGCTGCTAAATCCATTCACTGCACCATCCGTCCCCATCCCTTGACCCCCAAGCCACAGGAGATCCCAGAAGGAGAGTGTACTACACACATGCCCACAAAAGTTGCTCCTGCATGGACACTAGTGACAGTGGCAACTGCTGGGGAGGAACACAAGCGGGGCACTGGTCATTTGATTCTTATCTCATGTGACACCTCCCTGTGCCAACCGTCACCCCCGGGGGAAAGCCCTGCCTCTTCCCACTCTTACTTCACACTATCCCTACTACTTCTTGCTCACTCTCGTGTCTCTCCTTCTCCCAAACCCCATTCCATTCCCTCCCAACCTCATCTCTAGTGATGTGGCTCAGTGGACTAGTGGCTGGTGTTGGCAGCAAGGGTCACCCCCCCCTCACTCACTAGTGGCAATGAGGGGGAGAGCGGAGCAATCTAGCCCCAGTCTGTCTGCTTCCCTGGCGGCAGTTCCACTCTTTCTCCCAGCTCCCTCCACAGTGACGTGGCTGGGAGCAGGAGAAATGGAGCAGGGTGGGCCCAGGTTGAGTGCATGGCATCCTTGCTGCCAGCTCCAGGTCCCTTGCTTATCCCCTGGGCCTCATGGTGATCCCCCAAAGTGTGGTGCTCAGGGCAGTTAATGAACCAGGCTCTGGCTGCTGACCCCTTGTCCCTCCCCCCATGGCACAGGGGGCGGGCAAGCAGTCCTTTGTGCCCCAAAAGAAAAGTTTAAATTTGGACCCTGGTACACCCAAAGAAGAGTTCACAATTGTCCCGGGCTACTGACTAGGGTTGCCAGATGATTTCAACAAAAATACCGGACACACTTGACATTACATCACACTCTACATTACATCTTATTTAGAAAATACTGGACATTTATGTTTTCTCATTTATATTTTCTCAATTTGTTTCCTGAACAGAAAGCTCAAATACTGGACTGTCCAGTTCAAAACCGGACACCTGGCAACCCTACTATTGACACCAAAGAATTCAAAACTGGAAGTGGAGAACCCCACTTGCCACCAGCTGATAGGAAGGAGTCCCCAGTGGGAGAATTCTCTTCTCTGTCCCCACCTAGGGAATTGTAGACTCCCTGGCAGGCCTGGCCTTAGAGCAAGAAGGGAAATGTGGTTGCCTTGGGGCCCCACACCATAAGGGCCCTGTGCTGCTTGGTACCCGCCCATCTGCTCACTGCCCTGGCAGTGTGCTGTCTTGGGCCCGCAAACACAGTGGCTACGTCTACACTGGCCCCTTTTCCGGAAGGGGCATGTAAATTTCACGAGTCGTCGTAGGGAAATCCGCGGGGGATTTAAATATCCCCCGCGGCTAAAAGTGCCCGCCGCTTTTTTCCGGCTTTTAAAAAAGCCGGAAAAGAGCGTCTACACTGGCCTTTGGCTACGTCTACACTGGCGTGATTTTGTACCAGAAATATGCAAATGAGGCTAAGCGTGGAATATTGCAGAGCCTCATTTCCATATCTAATAAGCTGCCATTTTTGCAGAAGAGGCTCTTGCACCAGAAGGAGCTGTCTGCACTGCCCCTTCTTCTGCAAGAAAAATCCTCTTGCGCAATGCCGCTACGCTGATTATTTTCAGGAATAAGGGCATTGCGCAAGAGGGTTTTTCTTGCGCAAGAAGGGGCAGTGTAGACGCTCCTTCTGGCGCAAGAGCCTCTTGGGCAAAAATGGTGGCTCATTAGAGATGCAAATGAGGCTCAGCAATATTCCACCCTTAGCTTCATTTGCATATTTCTGGCACAAGATCGTGCCAGTGTAAATATAGCCTTTGTTTGAGCCTGCTCCCTGGTGCTACTTCACAGTGTGGACCTAACTATAGGGCCAAGGGGGAAGGATCCTCCAGCTGCATTGCATAGCGTGGTGTATGGGGGGGTTTCCTGATAGGTAAATGTTTTTAGGGATTTTACAGACAGGTCCAATTTTAGCTCTTTTAAATGGTCAGACTGCAAATTTACTGGCAGTTGGCAACCCTGCTGCGAGTGCGAGTAGCAAGGTGAATGAATGAGTGCAGGAACGTAGGGGTAGCTGGGAGAGGGTAGTGTGAAATACCGGCTTTGGCAGGACATTTGTAGGCAGCGATGGATGTGATCGCCAGCTAGCGGAGGGTCGGCTGCCCGAGGCACTGGCTGGTGGGGAGTAGCACAGAGCCCTAGGGGAGGCACGACAGGAGCAGAATGCTGAGGGGGTGGAGGTAGCGAGGGAGGGGGCTGAAGGGCACAGAGGCTGGGGGTGGGGTGAGTGGGGCCAGGGGTGCAGAGCCCTGGGCTGGCAGCAGAGCTGTGGGGAAGGCTGGCAGCACAGGCAGGGGCTAGGAGGGTGGCGGGGGGGGGGGGGGGTGGGGGGGG